AAACTGTCCAAAGTGATATTTCTCGAAAAATAGTCCATAAATAAACTTTTTACAAGAGATCTACTTTTGTGAGAATGTAAAACCGAAATCTATTGGCACCATTATTAAACATCGTTTAGCCAATCATAAGACTATAGTTAGACGTCATCCCTCGTCTGAATAAAAAACTTCATTGTATAGAAAATACAAACAAGCATGCGTTGATGCATCAAAGAAGTTTGTGGCAATTAGATCTATTTGCAATACATTCTGTCCGGATGTCGTCATAATGAAGCCACGGTCTGATCTGTGCGAGTTTTGCCAGAAAAGCATGACAACATTCTCTAAACTTAGAGGATGTTCTGAGTCAGAAAAGGCAGAACCTATAAAACAATTCCAGGATCACAATAATGTTGTTAATGTTGAAAGAACCGTGTATACAACTTTAATAAGTGACATTGCTAAAGATTTAACAACGATTTAATTAAACATAGTGAAAATGGAACAGAAATACAGTACCAAATTCATATAATAGAACAATACATTACAGCTTTGATTTTACAAGTGCATCTCTTTGATTGACAACAGCCAGGCCCAATCTATTTTCTTACTCCCTACAAAGTATGTGTTTTTAGTAATGGTACGGGCAAAAGACACCTCAACTTTTAAATTCCCTAAGCTATTAGGCTTCGAAAGGTTGTAACGAGTTATTTTTCCTAGGGGGGTAAATATTTGCTATTTGGGCCGCGCGTCTGTTGAGGAAAGCGAGCGGCGGCGGCGAACCTGGCTAGCGCCCTTTGACCCGGCTTATCAGTTCGGATAAGCTTGGGTATCCTGGGACTACTGGATAGCCGAGAAGGACATTCTAGTCGTGGATCTCGAGCAGTAAGGAAGAGTTAGCGTGTGTCTAGTGAGACGTCCAGTGATTTGGGTGACATCGGTGTCGTCGTGGTTGGTGTTGTGTGAGGTGACAGTGAGTGTCGGTGATTAAGTTGGGTGTTGGGACCCACTGTTGGTGAGTGGACGACGTTCCTTACATTTTGGTTTAAGAGCTGATAGTTGTTACTAAAACATTCATCTCTGATTTCATTGGTTGAGTTGTAACCGTGCTAGTCAAAGCCTGACGATAGTTAGGATTTATATTAGTCAGGAATAATATTAAAGTGTATTCCTGACGGTTCTGGGCAGGTGCTAGAGCGCAAATAATATAATTTATTGACTGTAGTAGTAATTATTTTGTGTCGTACCAAGAGTTAGTTTTATTACTAATAACTCTGAGGCCCGACAAACCTAGGCTGCACGATTTAGCGTGCGTAGTTGGAAACACGTGGCCAGTAGGCTAGTAGCTAATATTATTAGCCTATTAACAGAAGCCCAGCTAAGTAACATAAAGTTGGTAGTTGTAGCAGTAGCAGTAGTAGGGTTGTTATTGTTTATACATTTGTTTATTTTAATTTAACCTGAACAGCTTGTTTGGTAATCCAACACGTTATCTTGGTAGCTTGGATAGCGGAGTACCGGCTATCAGATAATATATTTATCTAGTGTTTGGAACGTATTTAATATTTATTTATCTGTTACTAAGTAGCTCAATAATTTAATAGTAGTGCGATTGCCATTTAGCTTTGCTTGTTTGGCTTGGTATTTATTGAGACCAGCTACTAGTGGTGTAGTCACTCTATCTATAGTGCACTTGTATTGTTATCTGGTATTATTATTGAGTAAACTGTTTGGTTGTTAGCTTGGGCAATAGAGTTGTGTATTGGATTATAGTGGCCTAGTAGACCCCGCCTGGTGATAACACGCGTTGTGGTTTTTATTGGCAAGTCGTCGTGTAACTCACCGTGTTTTAGGCACTCTGGGCTTAACTATCGGATAGTTAGGACGAAGCCCGAGTTGCGTAGTCAGCAACGACCCCCTAGGAGTGTGGAGAATCTGCGTAGGCCTGGTAGTGATTATTGCACGTTTGTTTTGGTGACTTGTTTTTGACTTGTTCACAGTGCGCGTGTATGAGCCAGTCCTATACCGGTTAGACCCGGCTTTTGGCCTAGTGGTTTCCCTGACCTTATCGCAGACCCTGGAACTTTACCCAGCCATTGTAGGCTGAGCTATCCCCGGCAAACGGTTGCGACTGCACTTTTGATATTTATTTTTCCAGTGCAGAAGGTAGCGTCGCAAGGTGCAAACGCTATAGTAAGGTTTCTTGATTATTACTTAGAACAGCACAGTTTAGGTGAAAACATCTGACATTACATGCATATATAATTGTGTAAGCCGAAATAAAAACAAAATCTTAATGGGTTATTTGTCATGGAGGGTTTTAAAAGGATTAAATGATTCAATCATACTCTCCTTCCTTTCAGTAGGTCATACAATGATTGGATGTGACTTGGCTATTAGATTATTTAACAAGAAATTTAGGAAGGGCAAAGCAACTTCTTTAGGCCAAAAAGCAGATATAGTTAAAAACTCAACCAACACAGGCCTTAACAAAGCAATTAATTGTAACTGGGACAGAGCACGACGAAGCTTTTGTTCACATTTTTGACTGTCTAGGTTATTTTGGAAATAAAAAAATGGAAGACAATAAAAGGGATTACAGAGTTAAGCCATTTTAATTTCAATTGCAAAGTAAAGGTGTGGTTCATGTAAAAGTTAGATTAGGTGACCTTCAAGAAAAACGTCTTATAACTATGGATATAGAACGTCCCATTGATTTCCCCAAGAAATTAAGCCAGAGAAATGATACGGGCTGACATAACAATGGAAGAAATATTTATATAAGAAAATCAGAGAGTATAATCAGGAAGAAATGCAGGACTTGCAATATCCTGTTCCAGGAACATAAACTGAAAATGCACAGGATATTCAAGAAGAAGTAGTCAACGACGCGAACGTCAAAATTGCTGGTTCAAGTGAAGTTTCATCCCTGAAAAAACGTACCAGAAGGGCAAAAAAATAAAAAAGAGTACATATATCTAATACTAGCCGTTACCCGGCGCACTTTGCTGCGCTTAACAACTATTATTTTAAATGGTAATTTGTTCATTACGATGAATAATTAAAGTGTAAGATGGAGCAGAAAAAACAACGAATGTAAATGATCAAAGGTGACATTGTTCTTTTGGTATTTGGCGGTCCATATTGGTTGTCAAAAAGAAAAATAGAATATTTGACTTATTAAAAAAATCGATAATTCTATTTCATAACTAAAACAACCTTCATTTTTCAAATTTAAGTAATAATACACTTTGTCTTTGAAATAATTTTGTTTACCTACCACCATCCATTAAGATTTTTCAGAGTTAGACTAAAAGTGCAAACGATTTTTTTGTATATTAAATCTCTCCTTTAAATTTCTGACAAAATGATACATTAAACATAGCCAATAGTACATTTAGTAACAAAATAATTTTTGTTGAACAAAATTAGAAACTTTGGAATGTGATATCGTCTAATTACTAGTTTGATTAACTTTGAATTCAAACATCCATGTTAAGATTTAACATCCACTTGGCCATTTTTAAGATATTTTTAAAACTCTTTAAGTGGTGAGTTTGGTTTTCAATGTAAAAGAGTTTGAGGATTTGTATGCATAAACTGGACCTGCAGGGCAAACGAAGTATTTTTGAACACCCCGTATGTTTTAGCCAGGAACAGTAAACATTATTATTACAAAATTAATTATGATTTATGGGTTAATTTTCCTGTATCACACAATCTTTCATAAGCATAAAATACAGTATTGTAACAAGGTATTGCTTGGAAACCAATTAACACTCCAATAATATTGGTACCTGGATATTCACATAACTGGTAAAATATGGAACACGAATTGAATTAGATATTCCTATTTCATGAGACCCTTCTAGCTAACGACCTATTCACATGTTGCGTACAAAATTGGAATAGTGTATGTCAATAAAATTATGTATGGGATAGTAAAATTAATCATATCACATGATACAAGTCCTTGTCGTTTGGATTCAACAATCATTGGGCGGTCTGTGAGTCAATGGCATGGCCAGAGCGAAAATAGCCAAACAAAGACCAGACTACTGCAACACGATGAGGTCAGGAACAGCCGCTAGGATCAGCTGACTATTGGTGCTTTGCCAACCGATAAAATCTCACTTTCTAGTAGCAAATATATAACGTAACAATAAATAAACATTTGATATATTTTTTATAAAGAATTACAGTATCCATAGGGGAGAAAAAAGTTCGTGGATACAAGGAATATGTTTTCCACTATGTTCTTCTGGTAATGAAAAATTCCAAAGTTGATTGGAGAATGCACTGTACAAACGTTGGAGGGGAGATGGGTGATGTGTATAGGGGAAGTGTCAAGAACTCAGAGGAAGGGTTGGAGTGTACTTGAGAGAGAGTGGAGAGGTTGAAAGGTTGAGTGAGAATATAAAAGCTGGCAAGACCCTCCAACTGATGGACACAGTACATTTATGTCTCCCTTTAAACCTGCTGAATTATATTCATGTAACCACGAGTAAGTTGACATTTTTTGTCAAAATATATGTAATGGTGTATGCAGCGATATAACGTAGTGCAACGTTCACCCAGATAAGGAACGGGCAGTATTAAGTGTATTTACATTGGATACATATTGTACGTAATTATCTTTAATTGATCGCAATTAACTTGTAAGACCACGTCAAATAAAACAAATAAATGGTATCAGCAATCTGACACATACTTTTCCAATTAGCTTGTCAACAATCTTTATCGTGCGTCTGCGTCGGGAGTAAACTATGATATTTTAAGAGGAAAATGATAAAAGCTGCAATAAATTTTGGACTACAAAAACATACCAATACCATAACATGCAATAATAGGAGATGTTAGGATTTGAATCGACCTCTATAAATATATAAATATGTACTAAATTTCATTCAATACAGCTTAGGTCGTTGAATTAAAATCTGATTTTGCCATTATTTTCTAAGTTTTTTTTCATAGCTTTTGACAATCTATTTGTATATTCTAACCAATTTGTTTACACCCACCTGATGGTCATCGTCTGTGGTGATGATGAAGGCATCTATAGGCGGTCCTTGGCTCATGGTGTTCTTCCGCATCTCGGCACGGAGGCGGTGGAGTAGCATAGTTGTGTTGATCCTCTCAGCAGGCTGAGGAACATTGTCCATGGGAGGACACAACTTGCGGTATGAGCCTTCGTCCGTCTCTAGGCCCTGGAGAGGGTTAGGTTCTGCTGTCACCATAACTGTCACCAGAGCTAAAACATACACCAGAGGGTTAGGTTCTGCTATCACCATAACTGTCACCAGAGCTAAAACATACACCAGAGGGTTAGGTTCTGCTGTCACCATAACTGTCACCAGAGCTTAAACATACATCAGAGGGTTAGGTTCTGCTATCACCATAACTGTCACCAGAGCTTAAACATACACCAGAGGGTTAGGTTCTGCTGTCACCATAACTGTCACCAAAGCTAAAACATACACCAGAGGGTTAGGTTCTGCTCTCACCATAACTGTCACCAGAGCTAAAACATACACCAGAGGGTTAGGTTCTGCTGTCACCATAACTGTCACCAAAGCTAAAACATACACCAGAGGGTTAGGTTCTGCTGTCACCATAACTGTCACCAAAGCTTAAACATACACCAGAGGGTTAGGTTCTGCTGTCACCATAACTGTCACCAAAGCTAAAACATACACCAGAGGGTTAGGTTCTGCTCTCACCATAACTGTCACCAGAGCTAAAACATACACCAGAGGGTTAGGTTCTGCTGTCACCATAACTGTCACCAAAGCTAAAACATACACCAGAGGGTTAGGTTCTACTCTCACCATAACTGTCACCAGAGCTAATGCACAAAAGAAGGTTTTGGCACTACTAAAGTCGCCACAAATAGAAACTAAGTAAGGAAGCTGGTTGAACAGACTTTGACCAGACATTCTGTAGTTACTGTACTGAAGGTAATGCTATGAGATCCGATTCCACATAATGTGTTTCTTACAATCCCTATGTTGAAAGAATATTGGACAAGACAATAATTCATTCTAGCTCCTTAGATCGTCAACCGTTTCTATAAACATGGTTTTATAGTGACACCAACTATTAATGTTGCGTGAGTACGTGTTTTAGAATAGCAGTGGTTTAGTGCTTCGAGTTAAAGAAGAAAATAATTAGACTAGAAGCACGCAAGAGTTTGAGAAATCCACTGCACTAGTTTGCCCTCACCTTTTCCCCGATAACTTTGCAGAAGAGGATTAAATGTCAATTGCATGAATCTACATTTGGCATAGTTATAGTTTAGTAATCTAAACGTTACGTTTAAGGTAAAGCATCTAAATCTAATATTTTAAAAAAACTTATTTTGGATGTAATTATCTGCTTACAACTAAAAATAAGGGTAATTCCAATGTCATAAAAATTGAATCTGTATATGATTCAAACTAGAATACTCGATTATTTTTGAAACTATGCAGTCTTCTCCCCCTCACTAGGAGTGGCTTATGACCATCGATGTATAGGAGTCCACCATCCTAGTTAATCTACCTTATCCAAACAATCTCAGTAACGTGTGGTTATTGACTCATACAAAAAGACTGTAATCACCTGATATCCATAAATGATGATAGAATCAGTATTGCGGAAACTAGAATATTATGCAAATTATAAATAGGGTATGGAAGAAATAGATAATGGATTAAAAAGAGAGTCGAAATATAGCTTATTGTGGTTTTAACGCCAACACTTAATGCTTGACTGAAACGCATTAAAAACGAAAACCAGCCAACCAACCATCAGATAAAACTTAATTGTGGAACAAACTTTTGTCGCGTTTGGAAGAGTTCATGCACACTGCAATGGATTCGTGATTTGCTATTTCTAATAATGTAGAAATGTATAAAATTTAAATACTGAAATTCGGTAAAAATACACACTATATTTAAGTTATGCATTGAGCTTAATCTATTTTAATTGTTTATTTTTATCAAATAATGACACCCCCACTTTCTTATAAATCGTTGTAGTTTTCAGATTAATGTAGAATTGTTTATAAAACTTCTTAGACTAATAATTCCCCTGGTGTAGTGGTGTAGAAATACTGGTTTTGCTAACTAAAATTAAACCGTATTACATTTTATTTAACTTGTTAATATTTTTCACCTTTTAAGTAATTTAAATTAACAGAGATCTCAAGTTAAATTTATCTAGATAACTAAAAAAAATTTAAACATTTTATTAAGTAAGTATTTGATTTAAAATAAAAGTAACAAACAATCATCGAAACAAATGTTCACTTTAAACTGGGGTTTATAATTAAACACAAAAACTGCCACCGCAGTTACATTTACCGTTTAGAAATAACCCCAAGTAAATATTAATGCTGAATCCCCAAGCGTGAAAGGCGAATCATTAATCTTGAAAGAGTAAGCCGGCTTTAAAATCACTTCAGAGAAACATTCAACGCAATTTCAAAAGAGCTTAGGTTTGCTTTTACCAACGGGTATTAAAGGGTGTGGTTCCACCCTTACTTGTACAGTGAAACCCTTTTAAAGGTTAAACAAAGCGGTATAAAAGTATCTTATCATAAGCAGGAAGATTTTATCTTGTGCTTTGAATGAAGCAAAAGCTGCAGCGCTAGGACTTGTGAATGAGGCATTGATTTTAATATTTAGGCCCCGAGTAAAGATGGCGCGTGCGATAATGTCGACACAAAATGTCATCCGGGGTTGTTTACCAGTGCCATTTTCTGCAGTGACCTTTCCTCGGGGCGCTTTACCTCGCTGGAAATCTCTCAGCACGCACTTGAGTTGAGAAAACTTTAGAATATGAGAACATATATTTTAGATTGTTTTTTAAAATTCTGAACTCCACCCTTTGAGTTCTCCTCGTCTAAGCTGATGGAATCATCCGACCCGTTTTAAAGTGATTTTACAGAATGTAAACTGAAACCGTTCAACGACGTTAACCTAACCTAACCTAACCTAACTTAACCTAACCTAACCTAACTTAACCTAACCTAACCTAACCTGACCTGACCAATAACGTTAAGTAAAACGACTGTGTTCAATTCAAATTTACTCTTTTAAAGGATTAACTGAGGACCATTTTAAGTTTATGTCCAATATAACTCTTGATGTTTTTTATGCTTTCTTACCAACTAGATAGTCATTACGACAAAATAGAAAGAGATATTTGTCAATTACTGTTTGTTCTCCGACGTAAAAAATTGTAAAACAAAGATTGTAAAATTGACTCCAAAATAAAGTATGTATTTAGTCCACATTAATGCTTTAGGGGTTATGGGCCATAAAATATATACCAAAACTAGCTTTTTGAGCATACAATATGTTAAGAAGTCTACTTGAAGCATCAAAAGTCAGTGATAGTATTTTTCGATGTTCTAATGTAGTCACACAACTCTTTATATGTTTACTGAGGAAAGTCAAATTTACTGGTGTGAAGGAATTGATTTGCTCTTGTCAGTCAAATCCACATTCAAAAATCCACACTCACACAAATGAGAATATTTAAATGACGTCATGAAATAGAAACAATGGTCGACGAGTGCGATTTTTTCTGATTAAATAAAATAAGTTTCTATTGTGAACTTTAAGTTAATCAAACCCCGGACGGTGAAAGGAAATGAAAACAAGGTGAGCTGAAAGACGAACACCTGTGATTGTTGTGGCTGGGTCGATATGGGGTTATTAAAGCCAACAATCAGGCCAACGATTTTGGATTTGGGCTGGCCGACCACACCCTTCAAGGCGTGGTCCGAGAAACGAGAAATTGGCTGAGTGCAGACACTGGGTCTTAAGAGGGCTAATTTCTGTTTGAGGACCAATTAGATATACAGTCAGACTATTCTGTGTGAAAGAGAACATTGTTTGACATATAAAGCATTTACCATTTTGGAAAATTACTTAGTTTCAGTCGGTAAACAAATCCAGACAATTGAATTAGACTGAACATTGATTCATCAACGTCTTATACCATTTTGGTCATTACGAATTTTCTAAAAACTAAAAAAGGTCACCAGTTCAATCCTGAGAAAGATATTTGAGGGATCGAAACTTGACCCAGCTGTTCCTGATCATTGGGCTTTAAATAAATAGATCCTGCCTGATGAAACTGCTGATCTTTGTCAATAAGCTTTATCATCAACTAGATCATCTCACTACAGTCTAAACTCACCCTTCACTCATATTTGGGTAAAAAAATACACCTAGTTAGAGTTTCCATCTCAAATTGATAATGATAATGATGATACGAACTAATAAACTCATCTCCGTTTATACTTGGCTTAAAATACCTACTTTGTATGGTCGTCATTTCAATGAAAAGTATTAAAAGTATTAACGTAAATGATAAACCCATTGAAGTACAATGTTAAAACAAATATATATATAATTTGTTTATAAATATTGGATTTTTTACCTGTCCACGTTTTTACTACTATACTCAAACATAGTTATTTTATAACTACTGAATGTAGTATTAAATTGATTTAAGTATTGAATCTATCTATTAAATCAAGAATACCAGATATAATAATGTGATTGGATTTGCTAAATTTAACCCAACCATCTTCAAAATAATAAATCTCATTGGGTAGACTAATATCTCTTTGGATTTATTCATCCATCTTTCTATATATGTAGTGAATGGTCTGGTTTTAGAGCCAAGTAAGTGACGAGTTGTCGAGTTACCAGATGGACCGTAAAGGCTGCTTCACTGAGCCAGATGATCAGCGTTCACTGCGAGTTCGTTTAGGTCTACACACAGTCATCCTTGTTGTAGTTAACATTACATTTGTGGTTATTCACATCATGTTTACTGTGTTAAAAGATTGGGAGTTCATAACCTGATCTCCTATTTTAGTTTACTCATACTTTCATAACTTTAGTGCTAATCATGAGTGCAATAAGGCATGAAAAACGGCTTAAAACTAATAAACATGTTTCATGGTTAGTAAGATTTTTTACCAATTCTGTTAGTGGTGGATGATAGTATTAGAAAATTTAGTTCCTGGAAACCTTATTACATCACCTAACGAAATAAATATGAGGAGTAATACACCATATTTTATTTAAAAAATCTGAGTCTAAGGGCTCTGCGAAGTCGTTGGTACATACAATGTACTGTGTATATGTTTATTGTAGTCCTTCGTAAGCCTGTTAAGTACAAGTGAATTGCATGTTTTATAATCTAATAGCTCATATCTTTTAGTACAAAGGAATATCAATATTTTTTGGG